GGCCCAACCCCCCAATCGGCCCTACCCTGAGCGTGACTGAGGGTGGCATTGCAACCTCCCGATCCGCCCTGCTCTGTGCATGACGGGGCGGCGCCCCAACTCCCCAATCGGCCCTGCTCTGAGCCTGACCAGGGGCTGCACTTAGGGATTGGGCCTGCCCTCTGCCACCCGGGAGCAGGCCTAAGCCAGCAGGTCGTTATCTCCCGAGGGGTCCCAGACTGCGAGAGGGCACAGGCCGGGCTGGGGGACCCCCCTCCCTCCGCCCCCCCCCGAGTGCACAAATTTTTGTGCACCGGGCCTCTAGTTTATATATATAAATCCTAAGTGACCAGCTAACCATGTGACCAGTAGCTATGACACACACTAACCACAAGGCACAGACACTCAACGCAGGAGAGAAACCACAGGCATGAAAACATGGGACAGACTGATGAATCTCAGAGGGAAGGGGGGAGGGTAGGAAGAGATTAACCAAAGATTTTATATGCACACTAGAGGCCCGGTGCACAGATCTGTGCACCGGTGGGGTCCCTCGGCCTGGCCTGTGCCCTCTCACAATCCGGAACCCCTTGGGGAATGTCAGAGAGCTGGTTTTGGCCCGATCCATGCAGGCCAGGCCGAGGGATCCCATTGGTGCATGAATCCATGCACTGGGCCTCTAGTTTAGAAATAAAAGAGAACATCATGTGTGGTTATTTTAGCAAAATAGCCTTGAAACTAATGAGTCCTGTGTGTTCCTATGACAGAAGAAAAAAAGTCCAAAGAGCTCATTTTAATTGAGCAGAACCAGCCCTAACCGGTTTGGCTCAGTGGATGGAGCGTCAGCCTGCGGACTGAAAGGTCCCAGGTTCGATTCCGGCTAAGGGCATGTACCTTGGTTGTGGGCACATCCCCAGTACGGGGTGTGCAGGAGGCAGCTGATCGATGTTTCTCTCTCATCGATGTTTCCAACTCTCTATCCTTCTCCCTTCCTCTCTGTGAAAAATCAATAAAATATAAAAATAATAATAATAATAATAATAATAATTGAGCAGAACCAGCATGGAAGAACAACATTTTTTCAAAATTAATCCAAATTAGATGTGTTATATTTAATAGTTCTGATGTGAGAAGACAGAACATGAGAATTCTGCACCACACCTTAAGGAGGAACCAGCATTTTATTTCTACCTCTGATCAAGTCCTTTTCTTTAAATCCTTTTTCCATTCACCACCCTACATGTAACTAATTAGAGATAGTAAGTGTTAGTGTTTATTGTACATAATTTTGATTACAGATAAAAGCTGCTCAAAACATGACAATTTTTTCATTTGGTCATGGATGGAAATCAGAGAAGACAGGACTTTCACAAAGGGTGTTGGATAAGACTATACCTATTAAAACAACAAAATGCCAAAGGCTTAATGATATTAAAGACTTTATTAGTTGAATAATTTTAAGAAATTTAAATTAGGAACACAAATATCTGAACCATGGGACAGATGAATAAGAACACATGTGGGTGTTTAGAAAAAAGGTGTGTAGGTGATCAGTAAAATAAATACAACTATTTTTAATGAGAGTTGATAGCAATGTCTTCCCTCACCCCACCCCACCCCAAAGCATGCAGCATATAGTACAACATAATTTATCTTAAGGCAGAAAAAAGTGAAGAAATGTACCAAAGAACAACAGTAATACAATGTGTATACTTTACCTGTTGAGATTTCCTGGGCCTCCTTATAATCAAACTGTTAGGTCTGATCAAATAATTGAGTCGATATCCCCTCCCCTGGGAAACTGACCTTTAGATAATTTCCCAACCGATATTCCCTTTCGCTTAGCCCACATTCCATTTGCTAAGACCAGTAACTTTACCCTCTGACTTGCCCAGGATCTGGACCTGCCCAGAGAATTCCTAGCCAAAAAAGCCCGCCTAGAGTCCTTTAAAACCTCTGACTCCCAGTCCCTGGGTTCTGGTGCCATTTTGGGGCTTAGCCCATCTGGTTTCCAGATAACCTAATAAATTTATAATTTTTTACCACTTTTGGCATCATGCATACCTCCTTTGGTGACACTACCACAAATGTACTGGAATTACTGTCAATTTCAAATATAAAAGGGCTAAAAGCCATTATTTTGGCAAAGAAGGAAAAAAGGAGTGGAGGGAAGAGAAAGTATCTAGAGATGGGATATAGATGCAGATGAGACACAGATGAAAGCAACAGAAACCTGAAGAGCAGCCCCAAGAGAATGTTAGTACAACTGACATTAAATATTACTAATACTTATCCCCAGTGGGGGGCATGCAGGAGGCAGCAGATCAATGATTCTCTTTCATCCCTGATGTTTCTCTCTCTCTCTCTCTCTCTCTCCTTCTTTCCTCTATGAAATCAATAAAAAATATATTTTAAAAATAAAAAAATAAAAAGTGCCCTTTTTTGCAGTGTTGGACACTATCTGGCACACAAAAATATGTGAGACATGGCCCTTGGTGCCCCCCCCCCTTTTAACAAGAGAACAAATCCATTTTATTTATTTGCTCTTCAATAAGTTTAAATCCTTGAGGGGTACAGCATTACACAGATTCTGTGTCCAATGGCCTTAGCAAGGAGGTTGCTTTGGAATTTAGATCCAACCATGCCACTGTTTCCATGAGCATGAGTTACCTTTCCCCAGATTACTTTGGTTTCGTTCGGTTTGCCACCAGGAGTCACTGTGTTGTTCTTTGTTTGTACACGTCAGTACACCTCTTGCCTAGACAGCATTCAGTTTCACCTCAGGCATAAACACCTTAAATTTTAAGAAGAGCAGTACAGGCCCTCTGGTTCCGGAGACCCCACTCAGGGCCAGCGAAAATGGCCTTGGATCACAGCCTCCAGTCACTTTTGTCGCTGTAGAAGCCCTGTTCCAAGCAGGCCTTCTCAGGCTCCAAGATGGGAGAAAGAGTAAAGGCCATCTCATTTAGGGGAGACATGAATACTGATAACTAAAATACAAGTATACTGAAATGGCTGAAGGCCATTTCAAATTTCATGCTAAGGGGATTGTATTGTTTCAAATTCCACTTTTTCCTTGGCAAAAAAGTCTGGACACTCAGACTTATATTACTATATGTGTCCTTAAATCTCATCTTTGGTTTCCAAAATTGTTTTCAATGATAGTATGGGAGGCAATACAGCATGGTGTTTAATGCAGGTTCTCAAGTCAGCCAATTCTAGACTTAAACCCACCCTGGCACTTACTAGCTATGTGACCTTGGACAAGTTACATTCTGGACAAGACACATTCTGTGCCTCAGTAATCATTTGTAAAATGGTGATAAATTAACCTTAAGGTTGCTGTGAGGAGAGAATGAGATAATTCTGGTAAGCTGTCTGAATCATCAAAGGCTCTCAATATCTCTGCATTAATTTAAATTATTAGTTGCTTCTCATGCCAATTAATTTCCACTAAAACTCAGAAGTTGGTGGTTACATTTATCTATAAAACTGCCCAGTTAAAATGTGCTTTATCTCTCTCAAAGGAAATGATGATTGCAGAACACACAGAAATTTGAACAGACAATGGAAGTTAACATACTAGGACTCTCATGCTGAAGTATGCAGTTCATGCAGTAGTATGCACAATGGCGGCATTTACTAACACATAAGACAGGAGGTGATATAGACAGCAGATTTTTGAACTGCTAGCTTTTAATAATACTGTGAAAAAATAACACAAAACATGATGGGAAAAGCAATATGTAAATGGTTAGAATTATCTTTCAAGGCTGATAAAAGTTAAACTTTCAATAAAGTTCTCATAATATACTGCTTTTTGGCTGATGAAACAGGCCATAAAAGTAAACCAGTGTTAAAAAAGATCAGTAGATAGCATTCCAAGTTAATGCTTCCCTTGAATGTAAAAATGGGCATGGAGATGTAATTTTTTCAAGTTTGGGATTTTCAGTAGCTTAAGAGAAATGATAAAATAGGATGCCAAATACACAGCTGTATAATTAGCATCATGGAGTAAAGAAACCCATTTAACACACAGGTGACTCATGAGTTAATTATTAATAAAATAAGTGCACCTGGAATGAGAAATGATATTTAAAAAACTCCCAACACACATACAAAGGCAATATGGTTCTCAATGCAAATGGTTTACGTTTGCAACATTAACAAAGGTATTTTAATCATAGCTGCAGAACACCGACCACTGGATAAATCATGAATAATAATGTAGGCAAACAGTTCAAGCTATTTTGTAAAGCATTGAATAATGATGCCCATCATGTTTTATGATACTGAGATTATTTCTGAACGAAAAATACAATCGCTATTGTCCAATCTCTAGACACAGCAATTTAAAACTCCATTTTGTGCAAGGCTCTTACCACTAACAAGGCACTATCATCAGTGTGTTGAGACCTTCTGGATGGGAAGGGACACTGGAGAGGTGGAAAAAATGAAGCAATGTCAAAACAAACTGCAAACACGTGACATATTTCACAAATACACAAGCAAAGAGCCATATTAAGACATAATTGTGAAGATGCTAACATATAGGACTGCATTCAATATCATTTTGATCCACATACCATAAGAGCTAGTAAGTTGGTTTTGAGTAATGATTTTCTTCCAAAGAGGTTAAACAACTTCAAATATGATCTTACTTGCCTATAAACTTTCTAAAGCAAAGAGGGAACAGGGATTATTCTTTGTTCACAGAAGAGAAAGCTGAAGTATAGATGGAGCAGTAACATGAGCCAGTGACAAAACAATCAACTCAAGAGTCATGATATCTAGTTTAGGTATCTCTTTATTACCTTTCTCAGATAAAACAATAACTGAGAATTTTAGCACTGTTATATTCCTGAAAAACTTTAATTTTTAGATAATGAATTCTCCAGAATGACCATCAAGAAGAAAATGTAGGGAAAAAAGGAAGAGTGTGTTAACTAATGTGTACAAGTGTATAATGAATAACATACATGCTTAGAAATGAGCAATGAAGTTGAAAATTCTATGTGGAGTCGTTTTTTTGTTTAATACTGACACCATTCAGCCATGCCGGATCCCCCTCTGGAACTCTCACTACGTGATATGCTTCGAAAGTAGATGAGGAAGATGATACCTCTGGTGGGGATAGGGAAGGAAATAAATAATCTCCAGATGGATGGTTATAGTTTTAAAACCCTCTGATCTACAGATTCTGATAAACTCCCTGGCTTGTGTTTTCTTCTATCCAATAAAAAGAATTTTGAGAGGGAAAAAGAGAAAATAGCAATATTTTGATCACTGAAAGCACATGCCAAACATTTCATTTCCATTGCAAAAAAAAAATTCCAAAATAAAGGTGATTATAAAGACTTACCTCACCATCTAAGGGGTGTTGCTGTTTTTGTGGACTGTGTGATGTTTTCTGCTACAAACCCCCAAACCCCCCCAAAAAGGGAAATTGGTTAGAAGCTGGAACACTAGAAATTATAAATTCTATTTACTAAAATAATCATATTCAGTATTTCTTATGTATAACATTTTTCTAGATTTACTGGTTAGAAGATATTGCTCTTTCCCTGAAATAGCTTACAATTGAAATGAGGAAAGGCAATAAAATGACCAACAGTATTTTCATGTCTATAAACATCTATACATAGAAAATTTTAAAACTATGTTTTTAATATACACATGCATACAAACATTCACAAGGTAGTGATCTCTCACTATGTTCTCCTACTAAAATCATTCTTTTTCTCTAATGGCTTAGATATCACTCTAATGCTAACAGCTTGAGCTCTCAACCATCAGCAAATTTCACATTTGCATTTCAACTGCCTGAGGACACAACTCTACTTGGAAACCCCACTCTCACCTCATGTTCAATACATTTAAAAACAAACTCACAATTTTCCAAACCAACTGACTCTTTTCCCCAATTTGCTAATTTCTGTTATTATGTCAAATAAAAATATAACATCTGTATAGCCAGTGCTTTACAATGTGTTCTTATGTACAGTATCTCTCAAGTGATTCTTCTTTTTATTCTGTGAGATAAACAAACATCATAATCATTTAGAGATGAGAAAATTGAAGATAAGAGAGGTTATGTGACATATGCAAGGCTGCAAAGTTTTAAGTAGCATAAGCGAGATTTGCATTTATGTCTTCTGACTCCAAATCCTACGTTCTTTTCACAATGCTAGACTCCTATTAAAACCATCATTTTTAGCCTCAAAATCTCCCTCCCCCACCCATCTTCAATGATTTAGTCAACATTCACTACACATTTATGTACAAGCGTAATGATGGTCTCTTGAAATCTCTCTTATAATTTTTAAAATCCACTGTGATGGTAGGGTGTGTAGCGCTCACCATAGTAGTAAAAGTATCAGCTCTATCTATAATTCTGAAATAGTTAATATTTAACAGTTAAATGTTACATGTATGAGGAAACTAAAGGCACAAAATGGTTGAGTAACTTTCCAAGAGTCAAGCATAGCCTGGCCAGTGTGGCTCAGTTGGTTGAGTGTTGTCCCATGCACCAAGAGGTCACAGGTTCGATTCCCAGTCAGGGCACATGCCCGGGTTGCAGGCTTGATCCCCAGTAGGGAGCATGCAGGAGGCTGTCCATAGATGTTTTTCTCTCACAGTGATGTTTCTCTCTCTCAAAATTAACAAAAAAATATCAAAAATAATGCACAGAACAGCACTCAGGACATAGTATTGAGTTAGCCATTATTATTGTGGTCATAGAGTAGGGTTTGGAGCCAGCTTGTCTTTTTTTTAAAGAAACTGTTTCTTTTTCAACCTTATTCCCATTTTCTCTTCAGCCTGTCTTGATTAGAATCCTTCCTCTGCCACATACTAGCTGAGTATTTAACCTTAGGCAAATTATCATCCTCTCGAGCATGAGAGATCATCATCATCATAGGCTGATACATTTGAAAAAAAGAAAAAAAGAAAGCCCTAGCCGGTTTGGCTCAGTGGATAGAGTGTCGGCCTGCAGACTGAAGGGTCCTGGGTTCAAGTCCAGTCGGGGCACATGTCTGGGTTGCGGGCTCGATCCCCAGTAGGGGGCATGCAGAAGGCAGCCAATCAATGATTCACTCTCCTCATTGATGTTTCTCTCTCTCCCTCTCCCTTCCTCTCTGAAATCAATAAAAAAAAAAAAAGAACTTATCATGTAGATGATACTTAAAGAAGATGGTCTCTGGCTAGAGTTAAGAAACAGGAGAGAAAACTTTGGGAGGACACAAGTGATTCATTCATTCAATCATTCATTTAACAAATACTTATTGAGCTTTACTACAGGCTTAGACTTGCTCAGATCTAGGGATATAGCAGTGAATAAACAGGATAGACATGGTCCCTGTCTTCATGGAATTTATAGATAAATGGGAGAGACATATATTAAACGAACGAAAATACACAATTATTTAATTATGAAAAAAAATCCAAGGTGATTTCAGAACAGGAAGACTTAAGCAATACAGGCAAAAAATGAACCATGTTTAGAAGCAACTACAGAGGCTATAAAATGTTAGGGGGGAAAAAAAGAAGTGGTAGTATTAACAGGAGTTGTTAATTGAGTAGGTATGGAGAGAACAGAAAGGAAGGAATCAAAGATCACTCTAAAGGGGCCCGTGAATCTCACAGATTTCTGGTATTCCGTAGAGTGAGGAAGTTAGAGATAAGTTAGATAACAACAGTTTATATTTGCATGGCACTTTCATTTTCATAACTAACACACTAGAGATTGAGAGAATGGCAGCTGGATAATAAAATGATTGCTAATTAAGAGGAAGAGACTGCTGTCCTAAGAGCAAGAAGAGCAAGATCATAACTTTTAAAAAAATATATATTTTCTTGATTTTTTACAGAGAGGAAGGGAGAGGGATAGAGAGTTAGAAACATCGATGAGAGAGAAACATTGATCAGCTGCCTCCTGCACACCTCCTACTGGGGATATGCCCGCAACCAAGGTACATGCCCTTGACCAGAATTGAACCTGGGACCTTTCAGTTTGCAGGCCGACGCTCTATCCACTGAGCCAAACCGGTTAGGGCAAGATCATAACTTCTAATTGTCCTCAGGCCTATCTACATGAGGACAATTAATCTAATCACCAATAGGAGACAATTACACTATTTACTCAAGATTCCTTATATGAGGAAAAAAAAGTTAACCTTTTAATTAAGACAACAAAAACTGACAGCCTCAGCAAAACAAATAAACACTTCTAAGAAACTTTAGGAATATCATTAAATGAATTCAAACGACTCACTTTGACAAAGTCCAGGACAGCATCTCTCTGAATCTGCTTGGTCCTTATTTTCTCCTCCTCATACTGTAGGGCAGCAAGCTGTGCCTCTCTCCTAGTGCGCTCTACTAATTGTTCTCTTCTCTGAGGAAGTTCTAAGTCTGTATGTGATAGCTGAAACAAAAATCAGTTTGCATATGAGAGTGGGGATAAAGACCAACTTATCCATTTAGGGAACTACTACTGAACCAACTTTTACTTTGCAGTCACCTAGCATTTCTTTAAATGTGTTTATTGCTATTTTTTTTTTCTCATTTTGCACTGTGTTCTTATATGTACTGCTAGAGGCCTGGTGCACAACATTCGTGCACTGAGGCGGGGGGTGAGGGGTCCCCCTCAGCCCACTTGCACCCTCTCGCAGTCCAGGACCCCTCAGGGGATGTCCACCTGCCGGCTCAGGCCCACTCCCCACACTGGCAGGCGGACATCCCCCAAGGAGTCTTTAGTGCTGCTGTGGAGGAGGGAGAGGCTCCAGCCACCACTGCTGCGCTCCCCAGCCACGAGCCCGGCTTTTGGCTAAGTGGTGCTCCCCCTGTCGGAGTGCACTGACCACCGGGGGGCAGCTCCTGCATTGAATGTCTGCCCCCTGGTGGTCAGTGCGCATCATAGCGACTGGTCATTCCACTGTTTAGTCTATTTGCATATTAGCCTTTTATTATACAGGATAAAGCCATCATGTGGATAAAGATTTATTTTCTGTCTGGTATCTAAAAACACTATTAGCTAGTATCAGGTGTACATATTATATTAACTGTATGACTGAGGAGACAGGTAGTGAAGTTCACAGATATCTGGCAATTAATAGTAACTTAAGTATTATAAAAAAAGAAAACCATCTTAGTTTAAAAACAATAAAAACTAAAACAGAACATTTTTTTTACCTGATTGTGACTTGGTAACAGTGAAGAAGATGGCCCAACTGGAACCCTGACCCAGAAAAGAAAAAAGAGAAAGAAAAAACCCTCTTTGATAAGAGAGACAGATATATAAAAGACAAGTGAAACTTCATTGTTAATGTAGCTTTCTGTTCATCAACAGGCAAACTGTCTAGTGAGCACTTAAAGGCTAAATAAATTTTGTAAACTTGAGCCCAAGTCATTAAGTTAAGCTACAGGAATACCTGATGTCTCCAACTCATGTTTCACGTGATGATATCACTGATCAAGTTATAGACAGCTAACAACTGTCTGTGATCAGCCAATGCTGATAATACAATTAGAGATCACTTTCAAACAGTATCATTTTTTTACAGCATAAATGTTATCTTCTTTACTACCTTGATTGAAACAAGATACATATAAATGGAGATCGTTTTATATACAAAGTCATTTATCAACAGAAATCTGGAATACTACAGAACCTGGTAACTGTACTTGCAAAGAACTCCGACTTCCATTTTCAATTGATGAAGCAATTTTAAGAGCAAAAGTAAAGATACTCTTGGTTTTTATTTTCAAGAAAATGATGAAACCTGATTTAATGCTTAAAAAATAGTAAAACTTGCCTCTCAGTTTTATCAGTGTTAATTCTTACAGTTTGGTATTTATCTTTTTCCTGAACTGGACTTGGTGTTTCAAGTCTCTGTTACTCATCTGTGTCTTTAAAACTAACAGTGTTGCAACAGTGACTTTTTGACATTTAGGACCTGAAATTTTACACTATGATTATTAGCCAAATGTTTTTTAATTCTATATTGCTTCCAATAGAAATTAATAAACTTTACAAGACTAAGCATGATACTATCACCTCCCCTGAACTAAAATGACATTTAGATAATAAGTAAACACTTTCAAAAACAATAATTTTTGTTAGTTTTAACTTTACACTTATTTAATCCATCTTGGCAAATAACTATAAAATACTTAACAATTTATCATAATCTATCCCCCTACCTTTATTATTCTCCAGGTGGGTAGGTACTATGTGTGTGTGGAAGGGGGAGGTGGGAGCAATGTACATGGAGGGTAAGGGGTGGGAAGGGCAATTGGGAGGACAAAGTAAGCAACTTTCTTTTCAGCAATGACTAACGGGCAAGTAGTAGTTTGTTAAACTGACTCAATTCCTTTGAGTGTAACTGGAGGACTGATATTTTGGTTAAGACAGGTCTTGGTAGCCTGAAGTTGCCAGTAGTTAGAGGTGATATTGTTTTGTAGGTTCTAATTATCAAGTCCATTTGCATATAAGCACGATGAGGATGGGAACTTTGACTAAAGTTTACAGCTTTTCCCAAATACCTAGAAAAGTACTTGGCACATAGAAGTAGCACGTAGATACTGAGCAAATATCTAATTGAAAAAATGAAGTACAGTTGACACTAGAACAATGCGGCAGTTAGGAACATCAACCCTCACCCCCTTGCACAGTTAAAAATCTGCATGTAACTTTTAAAAACTATGTATATTTTTATTTATTTCAGAGAGGAGGGGAGAGGGAGAGATAGAAACATTAATGATGAGAGAGAATCATTAATTGGCTGCCTCCTGCACATCCCCTACCGGGGATCAAGCCTGCAACCCAGGCATGTGTCCTGACCAGGAATCGAACTGGTGACCTCTTGGTTCATGGGTCGACGTTCAACCACTGAGCCACACTGGCCAGGCTCAACCAACATTTTAAATCCATGATTGGTTGAATCTCCCAATGTGGAACCCAGGGATATGGAGAGCAAACTCAGACTTGCACATTTTGGAATCCGAAGTGGTCCTGGGACCAATCCCCTGTGGATGAATATAATCATGGCTTCAGTTTCTAGCACTGTGGCAGATTACATACTCTGAATGACTCTTCCAATGGAAACAACTAAAATGTTGAATAAAATAGTATTTTAAAATACACTGCTGAAGCGCCATGAAAATAAAGAATTCACAGATTATAAAAATAAGTAAAAATAGAAACTCTGTATTAAAGTTTAATAGACAGATTTTTGGCCCCTATGATCCCCACATCTGATGTTACTCCAGTGAACACATTACACATCGAAAGGACTTTGCAGATGAAATTAAAGTTACTTATCAGCTGACCTAAAATGGGGAGATTACCCATGTGGGCCTAATAAAATCATATGGACCCTTAAAAGAAGAGGAAGGCAATATAGTTTGTGAGGTGCAGCAGAAAGAGAAATCAGAGAGATTCAAAATGTGAGAAGGATTTGGTCCACCACTGCTGGCTTGATATAGAAAAAGCCATGAACTAAGAAATGTGGGTGGACTCTAGAAGCTGAAAATGACTCCCAGCTGATAGACAACCAGGCAATGGGACCTTAGTCTGTAACTGCATGGAAATGAATTCTGCCAACAACCTGTATAATCCCGGAAGGGGATTCTCCCCCAGGGTCTCCAGACAAGAATCCAGGCCAGGGAATACCTTGATTCAGCCTTGTGAGACTCAAAGCAAAGAACCAAGGAAATCCTGTTCAGATTTCTACCCAGCAGAATTGTGATACAATAAATGGGCGTGTTTTAAGCTGCTAAATTTGTGATAATTTGTTACATAAGCATTAGAAACCAATACATAAGGCAACTGGGCTAAAAAGCTGGCTTTCACCTTGAGGTTTTATACTAAATTCTAGAGATCTTGAGCTTTATTTGTGATGAATATAAGAACTAACAGGGCCAGGAGATAGAGTCTAGGTCCATTCAAAGTGGGAAAATGTAATAGGAAATCCCTGAATTGGAATCTCAGAACACTACACCCTCAGTAGAAATAGACATGGCAACTAAAAAGTCATTTTGAGATAAATTTCAAAGATACAAAATTTAACTAAATCACTATGAACTGACTGATGAGACTATAAAAGGCCTAGTTATAAATGTCTTTACTCTCCCCATTTTCTTTATCTATCTATATCTCAGTCCCCTAAACTATAATATCCTGTCAAGCATAAGTAAAGAACTATGTATGACACGTCTACATAGTAAATATACTATTGTTTTAAGAATAGGCATGCCAAGTCTACTGCTTTAGGAGTTCATAAAAACAAAGAGGAAGCAAAAAAAACAAAGGCTGAGAATTTCATTTAGCTTTCTTTATGGATAAATCCAGATTATCACCATAAAAATCTCATTGTTATTAAGTATCTACAAATCAAATAATTGTTTAGGTAATGCTTTAGGTGATCTGAATTTAGAAACAATAAATCAATTTTACTTATTTTGCTATTATATGAGCACAAAGGCACATTATCACCCAGTTCTAAATACAGAGTGTCTAAAACACACAGTATCTAAATGTCTTCATTATACATAGATCTATATAAAACTAAAATCATTTCATGCTTTTTATTGAGTGTTAAGACAGAAAAAAATGAATAGAATTGGTTTTTCAAACCTGTTTTGATGTGAATATCTTTTTATGTCTTCTGTTTTTTGAAACTCCCTCATGGGTACTGGTTTTATTGGTGAACTCTACACCAAAAGAGCAGAAATAAATCAATTTAAATATATATCCAGAACACTGTGATTACACAGTTCACATTCAACTTGACATTTAGGAATATATATATTACACTAAAAAACATTATAATATTATCACAAAATTTTCAAATGTGAATTTTTATGTTTAAAGGATTATAGGCTATCTTACTGCTTTGGTAAACACAAAACTACTCATAATCCAAAAATGTTTATTTTATTTTCAAAAAAGTAGATTTTCTTCTCACTGTATTATATAAATTATAGTGGACATAGAGTATAAATGAATAAGATGTTAGCATTGGAAAGGATCTTAGAGGTCATCCAGTACAAATTTCCATCCACAGAAATTCCTACCTAACCAGCCCTTTTACTCAGCTTCTTTTGAATATTTCTAGTAATGAAGAATTTATTTGGCAGATCACATTTCTTTATTTCTTCATCATCACAAATTGTTACTCATGTTTGTCATCTATATAGTTCTGGGGAAGTTGGTGGGATATCAAGATAAAGAAAAAGTAATGTCTTTTTTGGCAAAATATTAATTAAAAGAGAAATACTGGCGATTTGATTTATTTATAAACTAAAGGGTAAAGATCATTTCAAAAAACATTACTGAGGAAAATTAAACTGACTTAAGTGATATGAAAAAAAATTTACAAAGGTAGAAACTTGCAGGTTATCACAGCAACGTATTTTGTCAAATGAAAATCTATAGAAACAATGCAATCTTATTTCAACACCAAAAATAATCATCAAAATGCATATTGTTGAAGGGAAAAAAAACTTATCTAAAAAGTATACCTAAAAGTCAAATGTAAAACTAGTTATAGTCTAGCTCCAAGAAATAGGTATATCACACATGACTAGAATATCTTTGGTGAGCTATTCCAAAGGGCTAACTAAAAGCTGACTCCCTTAAAGTCTGGGCATGAGAATCATATGAAATATAAATTTAGAATCCTGACAAGAGAATCATTATTCTAATTTCAGTGAATATGGATTTTTAAAAAATAAACAAAAATCTCTCCCAGTATGTTAACATCAGTGACTTATCACTGTTTTACACTACAATTATCTAAATTTATGGCAAGAGGCAGATGAAATTTTCACAACAAAATGTATATGACATTGGTTTAATTAAAAAAAGTCATATTCTGTAAATCATACCCTATTTTATCATACTTCTACATATGTGAGAGATTTATAATAAAATCAAATAATAGCAGAGTGTTTAAAATCTCAAACAGATTAGTATCTTAACCCATTTTCAGATACTATTCAAGAACATAAAAAAACTTCAGTTTTCTTTTAAACATTTTTATTGATTTCAGAGAAGAAGGGAGAGGGAGAGAGATAGAAGCATCAATGATGAGAGAGAATCATTGATTCGCTGCCTTCTGCACACCCCTATTGGGGATCAAGCCCATAACCCAGGCATGTGCCCTTGACTGGAATCGAACCCAGGACCCTTCAGTCCACAGGCTGACACTCTATCCACTGAGCCAAATCAGCTAGCATTAGTCGGCAAACTCATTAGTCAACAGAGCCAAATATCAACAGTACAACGATTGAAATTTCTTTTGAGAGCCAAATTTTTAAACTTAAACTATATAGGTAGGTACATTGTTATTAACTTAATTAGGGTACTCCTAAGGCCTAAGAAGAGCCAAACTCAAGGGGCCAAAGAGCTGCATGTGGCTCGCGAGCCGCAGTTTGCTGACCACAGATAGGGCTTCACTGGTTATTAAACCATCTAAAACAGTGGTTCTCAACCTTCCTAATGCCGCGACCCTTTAATACAGTTCCTCATGTTGTGGTGACCCCCAACCATAAAATTATTTTCATTGCTACTTCATAACTGTAATTTTGCTACTGTAAACAATATGTAATATATATGTGTTTTCCGTTGGTCTTAGGCGACCCCTGTGAAAGGGTCGTTCGACCCCCAAAGGGGTTGGGACCCATAGGTTGAGAACCGCTGATCTAAAATAATACTGCTTCATCACATTAAAAATATTTTTTTCTTTTAAATTGCTTTGAAAGAAAAAGAGAGAGAAAGGAGGGGGAGGGGGAGAGAGAGAGAGAGAGAGACAGAGAGAGAGAGAGAGAGAGAGAGAGAAAGATCAATAGGTTGCACCCCGACCATGGATCAAACCTAAAACCTGGGTATGTGCCCTGATCCCGAACCTGTAATGTTTTGGTGTATGGGATAACGCTCAATCAACGGAGCCACACCAGCCAGGGTTGCTTCATCATATTTTTATAGATGCCAAATTTTAGAAAGCTTTATGAAACAGAAGTCATAAACAGCCGTATGGCAGACATAAAGACTACCATACATAACAGGTAGCAAGAATTAAGAACATATTATTACAAACTAGCCAATATAATGGATTGAAGAAATGGTTCTACAATTTTTCACCAGTAGAGTAATAGGCATTATCACTTTTAGTAGAGATACCTCATTTATACAGTCTAATTAACCATAAAATGATCAAAGAGACCTTAAGAAAATAAAAAGGATTCCCTTTAATATTACAGTGTGCATTGTTGCCCAGCTGGTGTGGCTCAGTGGCTGAGTATTGAACCATGCACTGGGAGGTCGCTGGTTTGATTCCCAATCAGGGTATATCCCCAGATGGGGGAGTGCAAAAGGCAGCCAATCAATGTTTCTCTCTAATCGATGTTTCTACCTCTCTCCCTCTCCCTTCCTCTCATTCTAAAATTAATAAAAACATATTTTAAAAAAAGATTATAGTGTACACTGTTGATTTTAACTTTATTACAAAGTAGTTGCTCTAGCAGGGATGTTTATAGCCTGAACCACAAATAGTTCCATTCATCACCTGGAACACACTTATATCTCTGGGCTGCAGGACTCGGATTTATATAACTTCATTCAACTTTAAATACAGGAGTGCCTTCTGAATGCCAACAAAAATACTGTGTTCAAAAGCCTTCAGATAGGAAAACCAAAGGGTTTTTTAAAAGAATGATAATATCACTTCCTAACATGTCCCACTTGAAATGATTATTCTCTATTTCATCATTCTTCAAAAAGGCCCAAGTGTTTCTCAATAACCTCTGTTCAGAACCTGGGACCAACACCAGACATTAACAACGCACAAACTAAAGTGGAGCCATTTTATTATGCTGACAAGATTTAGTCAAGAATGCTATTTCTACTTGAGACCTTTGGGGAACTGGCAAAGTTCTTGCAGTGGACTGAATGCTTGTTTGTTTTATACAGCAACTCAATGCTCCACTATAAGAGACATTCAAGAATTTTATTGGCAAACAATTTATATTCTGTGTGACTGAGAATAGAAGCTCCAATATCATTAAGCTCATTATACAAATTCTATGGTTAAGTTTCTATGTTGCTCTGAAAGTCATCGGTTTGGTACAATTCTTAGTTACTGATCAAACTATGATTATCAATATGTAACAATAAAAAAGCAGTAAGAACAACAATTAAAAGCATCACATTCCTTTGCATTTTCTCCAAAGGCATAGAATACTCTTAGGACTTTTTAAATTCTTTTTTAAAAATTCTGAAATCTGTCTTTTTATTTGAAAAATAAACCTAAACCCTATTTGAGACTATTGTCTGATCTTTAAAAATGAATCTGAAAAATTCAGTAATGAAACTGGAACTGAACATAATAAAACAAATAATAAGGCCTAAACCAACAAATCACTGATAGGACAGAAATTTATACTACCATAAATTATTTTACTAGGGGGTAGCAACATAGTTAGGCTTAAATATGTGTACTACCTCATGAGAGATTCGCCGTTGTTCAATATATGCCATAAACTGTGAACTGAGGCTGTCTGAGTCCAGGCCCTTGGGTTGCCTCACCTCATCCTCTTCTTCCTCTGCAGTACAGCTGTCAATGTAGTCAATTTGATCCAGATCGTGTTCCACTGTCCACATCACACACACATCAGGAAAAAAACATTCAAATTAGATAGCTAATGAAAGACATTACATTGCATTTTTTCCTTTTCCCTAACATTTTCTATTCTGAAAGTGGAAGAAATGAGAAGTTTAAATTTTGTAAGCTTTTATTATTAGTCCATGGCCACTCACAAAAATAGGCTTCAGAAAAACATTAGTCTTAATTCACTAAAGCATACAGTAATTGATGATAAGTATTAGAATACAGACCTCTAATATTTATTTTTTCTATGGACAGCTCTTTACTGTTTTAAATAAGACAGTCTGAGTTTTTGATACAAAGAAAGAAAGAATAATTTTTAAACATTGGAAGGTACGTCTTCTTTTAGGTTCTTTCCCCAAGTTTTAGATTTTGGGCGTAATCATACCTCACTTTGAAGAGGTGGGAAGGCAGAAAACCTAACACAATCAACTCAAAAGAAAAGAGAAAGGATTGGAGGAAAGTGAACTTGGAGATAAAGAAATAGATACTGACTACTGTTTCCCTTCCTATAACTGTTGTCCATAACCAGAACAAAGATTTTCTATTTAAAAATTATTTTCTAGAGGTCAGCATTGTAGATATTTTATAGCAGTTTGTGGATAGAAGAAAATCATTTGGGGAATTTTTTATTCTCAAAATGTTTTGGGGTGAGGAGAAGTATATAAATAAAGTATAAAATCACATCATTATTTCTTCTAATAAGTTTCGGAGTACCCCATTATTGTTAAGCTTAGAAACTAGCCATTTAAAAATCCAGTTAAAATGGCACGCTAGAAAAAAAATACTTGCTATGAAGATGGTTTCTCTAGAGATGTATTAAACCCCAGCTATTACTGTATGATATTCTGTAGGCTGGCTAAAAGTTGCAGTTTCTAGGAATAGTGAATTTGAAGAAGTCTACTTCTCAATCTAGTTTTCTAATTCAATTATTTCTAAATATTTCCATAACTGAAGTTAATACAAAAATAAATTTTGAGTTACTAGTTATATTAATAGGTAAAAGGATGAAAAGGTCTACATCCACATTAGAAACCAGGTACATAAATGCATTTTTTCCCAATGTGCTACAACTTGTGTGACTAAATAAATAATTCATTTTATGACTACTTCCCAAGAATGCAATATCATTTTTTATACTATTTTGACCAACACTGTCCAAGAGAAATAGAATGTAAGCCACAAAAGTAAACCACGTATGTAATTTTAAATTAACTAGTAGCCACATTTCTAAACGTCAAAAGAAAAGTTGACTAATTTTAATAATATATTTTATTTTGTCCAAGAGATCTAAAATATTATTACCACATGTAATTAATATAAAATATTATTTTACATTCCTTTTTTCATGCAAAGTCTTCAAAAATCTGTTTACACTTATAGTACATCTCCATTCAGAAAAGCCACATTTCAAATGCTCAATAACCACATGTGGCTAGTGCCTACTATACTGGACAGCACAGATATAGACATTATTTTAAGGCTGAAATGAATCAATGAGAAAGATTATTACATATACAAGCAAGAGTAAAAAGAAAACTACTAAAATATGAATGAAATGCTAAATAACAGTAGTAAAAAAAAGAATATAAGATGGTAGGAAAAAAAGATAGCAAACCACTTAATTGAAATAATGAGTCAGAGATTAAGCATCTTCTCAGATAATACAATAGATTTCTGGAAAATCAAAGTCATTTCTCCCTTGTGGCTAACCCTCAAAATTTAAAAATTCAAGTTAAAGCAATATTGAGTAGAATACGAAAATCAAGTCTGCCGCAGAAGTACAAACAAAAAGAGTTCTGTCTGTTAATGAGCTATAAAAACAATTTTAAATTACAAATATTAAAATATCAGAATATGGATGACTCAGATTCAGATGCCCTTGAAGAGCACAATTCCAGATGAAGAAAAAGGTAATGAAGAATAGCACTGAATTCCTAAAAAAGGTAAAGTAATGACCACAAAAAGAATCTTTGAAAGAAGACTAGTACTTCAAAAGAAGATTCGGGTTAAATTTAGATTAACAAAAATCTAATCCAGATAAATTGTCGTTAATAAAGTTTCCTCCCAAAATAAAGGTAAGAGAGAAGCACTGTATTTTAACTGAAAGCCTGAAAATATAGAGAAATTGAAATTTAATCTCAACAAAAAACAATTTTTTCCCAATCATATAAGAGAAAGACTTTATTTTTAAAAAAATTTTTTTTATTGTTTTATTGCTTAAAGTTTTCCCCCCCGCCCTTGACAATCCCCTGGCCTCCCCTACCCCCCAGTGTCTTATGTCCATTGGTTATGCTTATATGCATGCATACAAGTCCTTCAGTTGATCTCTTACCCCCCTCCCTCCTGCCCAACCCTCCCCGGCCTTCCTGCTGCAGTTTGACAATCTGTTTGAGGCAGCTCTGCCTCTGTATCTATTATTGTTCATAAGTTTATAATGGTCTTTATTATCCATGAATGAGTGAGATCATGTGGTATTTTTCCTTCATTGACTGGCTTATAAGAGAAAGACTTTAAAAGAAGAGTTGAAGAAACTACAAATACACAAACCAAAGGAGTAGGTGTGAAAAAGACCATTTTTTAGAGTAATTATAAAAACTTCAAATGTCATCAGGAATTATATTTACCTCCATTTGCTACTACTACACTGCTGCGATTCTCTTGGTACTGGTTTTCTCTTCGTAGTCTTTGTTCTTTAGTAATTTCTGCTACTCGAAGAGGCAGATCTGAAAATTCATCTGTAGGCTTAAAAAAATAGCAGAAACATTAAAAAACATCATTCTACATTTTAGATTACCAAGTATTTAAAAGCATGGATATAATATAAACTCATTAAAATGTATATTTAAGGAAAAAATACCCCAAAAGTTCTGGATATGCATAGTGGTGAAAGTTTCTCAACAATGTGAATGTACTTGATGCCACTAAAATGTACACTTAGGAATGGTTAAAATGCCCCTGGCTGGGTGGCTCAGCTGATTGGAGCATTATCCCATATACCAAAATGTTGCGGGTTAGATTCCTGGTTAGGGCATATACTGAGGTTGAGGGTCCCATCCCTGGGTTCTCTCTCAGATCTTTTTATAGATCTGTCTCTCAGATCTATAAAAAACATATCCTCAGGTGATATAGAAGGGTATGTATGACTATAAATATAGGGTGGGGCAAAAGTAGGTTTATAGTTGATCATATGGAAAATAACATAATAATTAATAAATAATCTCTATATATAAAAGCCTAAGTGACTGTTCAACTGTTTGACTGGTAGCTATGACGCACACTGACAACCAGGGGGCAGATGCTCAATGCATAGGCATGGAAACGTGGAACACACTGATGAATCTCAGAGGGAAGGGGGGATGGAGAGATTAACCAAAGATCTTATATGCATATTAGAGGCCCGGTGCACAGGTTCGTGCACCGGTGGGGTCCCTTGGCCCGGCCTGCAGGGATCAGGCTGAAAACAGCCCAGTGCACAGGTTCGTGCACCGGTGGGGTCCCTTGGCCTGGCCTGCGGGGATTGGGCCGAAATTGGCAATCTGATATCCCCCAAGGGGTCCCGGATTGCGAGAGGGCGCAGGCCAGGACAAGGGACCCCACCGGTACACGAATCCGTGCACCGGGCCTCTAGTAGAAGTATATACTCTGTATTTGGTGTACTCACAACTGTAAACCTACTTTTGCCCCACCCTGTATACATATGTACATGAACTTAAAGTATTTACATATATGTATCTAGTAGAGGCCCGGTGCATGAAATTCACACATTCGGGGGGAGGGGGGGGGGTCCCTAAGCCCGGCCTGTGCCCTATCACAGTCTGGGAGCCCTTGGGAGATGTCCAACTGCCGCTGAGGCGGGAGAGGTCCCTGCCACTGCCGCTGCACTCGCCAGCCGTGAGCCCGGCTTCTGGCTGAGCAGCACTCCCCATGTGGGAGTGCACTGACCACTAGGGAGAAGCTCCTGTGTTGAGCGGGATCGGGCCGAAACCTGCTTTCCGACATCCCCTGAAGGGTGCCGGATTGCGAGAGGGCGCAGGCCAGGCCGAGGGACCCCACCAGTGCATGATTGGGGCCGGGGAGATATGCGGGAGGTTGGCCAACTGGGGAGGGGCTGTGGGAGGGCTCCAGGGCGTGTCTGGCTCATTTCACTCAGTCCCGATCATCCGGACCCCAGCAGCAAGCTAACCTACCGGTTAGAGCGTCTGCCCCCTGGTGGTCAGTGCATGTCATAGCAAGCGGTTGAGCGGCCTTGGCATATCATTAGTATATTATGCTTTGATTGGTTGAATGGATGACTGGACACTTAGCATATTAGGCTTTTATTATATAGGATATGGGTAGAACCAAAATTATGTACATACCCACTCAAGAAGTAATTTTACAAATTGGTGCACACCTAAAATTAATTTGCTTTTGACTCCCAAATGATGTTATAAATGGTACTTAATCACTTAACCCAACCTGTAGCTAAAATATTATACTTTAGTAATTTATGAAAAGAGAAAATATAGTACTAATAACTAAACAAAAGAGAAATCTGATATAATTGGCTAAGAAAGTTATCTTGAGCATGTGGATATTCTTTACTAAGGTTCCCATTTCTTTACCCATCAGTTGTAACTGGCTCAGTTCTTGCTTAGGTTTCTAGGATATAAAATTATTTATACAAGACATTGAGGTAACAAACATGTAAAACACACATGGTAAAAAGATAGTGAAGAAACAATTTTTGGATGGTATGACTATGTGGAATTTATACCCTTCCTTTGGTTTTTCTGTATATTTTATGTAATGAGAAATTGAACCCTACTAAGGAACTTTTCATTTTCATCATTTGATTTTCCCTTAATCAGGAATTATAACATGCAGAAAAGAATAAACACTTACTTCATTCCCCGACCATCTCTTATCACCACTGTCAACACTATTGAAACCTGAATCAAGGGCTCCATAAGGGCGACCTGAGTATAGTTCTTCATGGCTGCCAAAAAGAGAAGTTAGTTATTACTGCAAAGTTTGGTATTTTAAAATTAACATTTGAAATAAATCGGATTCAATTTTACAAATACACATTTTCATGGCTTTTAAGGACTTAACTATTTAGAACTAAATGAACATTCTTTTAATTTTTTAATATGAAAAATTCCAAATTAAAACAGAGTAAACAGAATAATGAGCTTCCAGGTACTTGTTACCAGCTTCGAAAATAACATCCTGTCATCCTTGTTTCATCTATTCCTCCATCCATTCCCAATGCCCCTGTCATTTGTTTTTACTTTTTTTAAAAAAATATATTTTATTGATTTTTTTACAGAGAGGAAGGGAGAGGGATATAGAGTTAGAAACATCGATGAGAGAGAAACATCGATCAGCTGCCTCCTGCACACTCCCCACTGGGGATGTGCCCGCAACCAAGGTACATGCCCTTGACTGGAATCGAACCTGGGAACCTTGAGTCTGCAGGCCGATGCTCTATCCACTGAGCCAAACCGGTTAGGGCTATTTTTACTTTTAATAGTACTCTTACATACACTGAAATACACTCACCTTTGCTGTGCACTTTTGACAAATAAATACATCTTTATAACATATACCTCTATCATAATATAGGATATTTCTATTTTGCAAGAAAATTGCCACACATCCATCCCTTCCCAGTCAATTTTTCTCACCCCACCATTGTCTGCAATCACCACTTTGATTTTTTTTCACCTTACATTAATGGTCTGCAAAGATGCCCTAGACTTTATCCTTAGGACCTGTACAGTGGGGCCTTGACTTATGAGTGTCGCGACTACCGAGTTTTTCGAGATACGAGCCATCTCTCGGCCGATTTTTTGCTTTGAGTTGCGAGCTAAAATTCGGGTTACGAACCAGCTTCAGATACCCCACCGCTAGTTGGCGCAGCGAACGTCACAGTGAACGCCACAACATCAGCCCAGCATCACGTGTCTCACTCATTCACTTTTTGATTTGACATACGAGTAATTTGAGTTACGAGCTCCATCACGGAACGAATTAAACTCATAAGTCAAGGCCCCACTGTACTTTATATGGCAAAGGGGAATTACAGTTACAGATAGAAATATGGTTGCTAATCGGTTGACCTTAAAATAGGACGATTATCTTGAATTATCTGAATGGGTTTTCACTGGAATCACAAGAGTCCTTAAAAGTTGAAGAGGGAGGCAGAAGAGGAGGTCATTGTGGTGTAAAGCTGGCTTGAAGATGGAGAAAGGGGACCAAGAGCCAGGAATGCAGACAGCGTCTAAACATACAAAAAGGCAAGGACATGCATCCTACTGAGAGCCTACAGAAGAAAATGCAGCTTTGCCAGTTTCCCGAGGAGACCAATATTTAGACTTCTGACCTACAGAACTGTATGATAATAAATTTGTCTTGTTTAAGCCTCTGAAATTTTGGTTGTTTTTTAAGGCAGCAGTAGAAAAATAATACAATTAGTTTATCCTATTGTAGAACTCATAAAAATAAAATTATATGTACTTTTTTAAAATTCAGCATCATGACAGTGAACATCTTGATGTTTTTAATATCCTGGAGTGAATGAATGAATAATATAAGTGTAGGTTTAATTTAAAAAACAACAACACCCTGCCAATCTGTTTTCAAAAGGAACTATATCATTTTGCAGTCTCACCAACAACTTATTTGAGTTCAAGTTGCAAACATTTGTATTGTCAGTCTTTAATTTCAGGTGTTCTGATGGAGGTAAAGTATTATCTCATTGTGGTTTTAATTTGTATTTTTCTCATGACTAGTGATACTGAATATCTTCTTGTATGGTTATTGGTCATTATTTATCTTCTTTTGTGAAATGTTTAAATCTTTTGCCCATTTTATTATTATTTTTAAACGCATTTTTACTGATTTTAGAGAGGAAGGGAGAGGGATATATAGAGAGGAACATCAACGAGACATATCCATCAGCTGCCTCCTGCACGCCCCCCACTGGGGATCGAGCCTGCAACCCAAGCATGTGGCCCTGACTGGGAACTGAACCAGGGACCTCTTGGTTCATGGGTCCATGCTCAACCACTGAGCAACACCAGCTGGGCTCTTCTGCCCATTTTAAAATGTAACATCAACGATCTTTTAAAAAAATCTTTACTGTTGAGAGTATTATAGGTGTCCTCTTTTTCCATCCATTGCCCCCCCTCCACCTGGTTCCCGCCTCACCCCAGGCCTTCACTACCCTATTGTCTGTGTCCACAGGTAATGTATATCTACTTATATCTACTTATATAAAAACCCTGGGTGGTGTTCATCACGACCACCAGAACTGCGACCAAGCAGAAGGAAGTCAGTCCTGCAGGGGTTGTCTTGGCAACGGCTGCACCCTCCCCCAAGCTGTTTCCCGGAGCTGTTTCCTGTAAGGGCAGGGTTTGAGGTAGGAACCCACCCTGGAAGCGTGGAGGCATATCTTTATAAAGTGTACCCCGCCAGCACAGCCAAGGGTGAACCTGAGTGGGGGTGGCTGAAAGGCTTAGAAAAGACAGACAAGAGAATGAAAGCCGGGTCTCGGTGGGACGCTGCTTCTCTGAGAGACAGCGACCACACCCACAGCCATGCCTTTATTTTATAGCAGATGCTATGAGGCAAAGTAAGGGCGTGACCAAGATGTTTACAACATTCTCCTGGGTTTCAATCCTACTCAACTACATGCACCTGAACTCTATCAAGCCTATATCACTCAGGCACGTGGGGCCAGATGTTAGGACCATAGGTTCAAGCTTACAACTACAGCTGTTGGCTATAATTGTGCTGGGAGGGCCCTGCCCTCCAAGCTGGGACTTGCACGTGGCAATGAGAGGACTGTGCCCTCTCATCAGTCCAAGGCTTGAACCTGTCCAAAACACCGTAGCGGCTCCCCACAATAACGTTTTAATTCTGTTTCTTTGTTACTAATGTTGTGGCCCCACCCCATAACAAAGAAACAAAGGAAAATTTCCCCATCGAATTTCTGAATAGTATTACTCCTT